TTTAATATTTTTAAAAGTTAGCTATTCTGGGTTTGTTTCCACAGTATGAGATTAATAGGTGGACGTTATCAACGTGGACGTTCCAAATGTGGGTGAGCTATCAGTGCTTTGTGTCTAGATGCACCATGAAAAGGTATTTTACCCATGATTAGGAAGGACAGAGTGTGTCTCAGCCAGGAGAGAGAGGAGGTGAAGATAGACTTTCAGAAAACTGCTTTCTTCCCCTTTAGTAAAGAGCAAGTTTCCTCTCAGTGGCTTTGGGATGGACCTATGCATCTTTGGCAGCATCCCATGACACCAGATGTGACTCAGATGCCTGAAATAAAGATCCTTATTCAGTATTAGGGAAAACAGGAGCTTATAGGCACCTACCTTTCATTTCCTTCTCTTACTGTCTACTTCTCTGTAAGGCAATGGAAGATTCCTGGCTAGAAAGGTAAGGAGATAGTCCTTGTTTTTCTCGCTGAACTAATCAGTGTTTAATTGTGGCAATCTCTGCCCCTTTCATAAATTCTTGGCACAGCTATAGGCATTGCTACATTTTTGCCAGATTCAGTCTACCTTCCCAATCTACAAATACGGCTTGAAGAACGAGGCATCCCTTAAAACATGGAGATTATTTTTATCACAGGACCCAGCAGATTTCTGTTGAAGTATTTCAGAGTGTAAATTAAAAATATATGCTGTAAAGCATACACTGTTCTTGTCATCCCAGTTTGTGAGCTGTACATATGGGAGTATGTAAAAGTAGTGTGTGCGCTGTGCAGGGATCTGGATGGATAATAAAACAGCTGCCTCATAGATTCCATCTGCTTTCTGTACTGAATCTTTTTAGGTACCGTACATTTTTCACTGTTGTTATTTTCTCCCCCCGCTTTTTTTTTCTTACTGAATGTTCAGTTGAGGTCCAGCTTATTCTTCCAAAGGCAGCACTTCAGATCGTTTGCAGCATGGTGTGTTTGAGCGTGGGTACGTTCAGGACAGTCCATCTCACATCTGATTGTTTTTAAAACATACTAGCAGTTTTCAAACCAGTCCTAAATTTCTGAAGGAAATAAGACATTCATATAGAAAATCTTTGCTTTGGAAATTGCTAGAAAAACCCCTCACTACTAGTTGAGAAAGAGAAACACTTCTATATGTACTGACAAACCACTTTTCATTTAGTTGTTTCCTTTATGCATTTTTTCTAGTTGCACTTCTTACTGCATATGAAATAGCTCTAATGTACTCTGGTTTGAATACCACTTTAAAAAAAAATCTCAACTGACATCCACAATTAGTTTGAGATAATATTCAGCTCACGAGCTGTTACCTTGCAGACTAAAAATGATCTTTTTGTAATGTTTTCTCTAGTATAAAGAACCAAAATAGCTGTATTGTGAAAGTTCCTTGGGTATATAATAGCTACTTTATGAGATGTGGGATCTATAATTTTTAAATAGTATTTTTACAGTGTAAAAGTGAATGTAAGATTTTTTTTTTTTCCTCCAGCATCTCATAGCTTAAAATCACTTGTCTGATAATTAGTAAAACAGTGCCAGATCTGCAGTCATAAAATTGGCTTTCTGCAAATTTTCTGTCTTGTTGCTTCAGAAGTATTTAGAACAAGACAATTAAGAAAACATCTAAAGTGAAAAGGTATGCTGGTAAACAGCTATTGGTAAGAAAGTGCTAATTTAGACATTTCTCCCTTCATATAAAAAACTGTAGTATATACATTTAGGAACATACCTAGAATAGCAATTTAGCAGCTTTTAGCAATGTAGCTGTGTGCTGTTTTGTGCCCATTCATCCTTACAGCACAGGTAATTAAGTTGATATTCCAACACAGCTTCACCTACTGACCTTTTAGAAACTAAGTATTTTGCTGTATTAACAAATTGACTTCAAATCAGTGACTTTTCCAGTAAATGTGGCCTTCATATATGCTTTGAATATACGTACTTCTCCCATTCTGGTGACAGATATTAACATCAGCATTAAAAATGGGGCTCTGGTAAAGGGCAAAAACCTGTTGTCTCCTGGTGGACCTCCACATCAGCTACTCCTCACTGCCCTTTGCCTATTCTTTTCTGGGCTTCCCACCACCGATTTAAGCCATACTGTTTCCCTGACCATATTTAGTGGAGGGAACGTGCTGCTGTGAAGCTATAGTTTTGTCTTATCATTCTATTCAGATTTCTTTAGGCTTCAGAAATGTAGTATGTGTTGCAATACATACAAGACCTCAAAATGAACTTTATTTCTGGTAGCACTTAAGTGGATAAGATAAATTTGAATCTGAGTGTTTGATTTGACCTATGGTCTAGAGAAAGAAAGGCCTTCTTCCCTTCCCTTCTTCCATCCTTCCTTTTCCATCTAACTGAATTCTGCATTACAGAGCCTTGACCAAAAATGAGCCAGTTGAAACTTTTGCTGGAGTGTATCAATGCTGCTTCTTGTATAGACTCACCTTGTGTATCATGTATCTTGTCCACTATCTTGCTGCTTGCAGAGAAAAGTGCCAGCTGTTCTGGAGAAGAAACTGCAAACTTTTCGGTAGACAGATGCAGAATTTTAACTGCTGCCTGAGGAAAGCTTCTCAAGATGCTGATGCAACAGGTGACAGTGAAAAAGCAGCCATCCATCCTTTCTTTTGCTGACAAATCTTGTAGCAAGGTCATGAGTTTGAATGATGGTGGGTTTTTTTAGGGTAGATCCATAAGGAGCTTAGATTATGACTCTTCAAAGCTATGGATTTATGAGTAAATTGTGACTGGACTGAATTCCACCTGGAATTCAAGGTGTCAGTCTGTGTGGCATTGATTTGTTGTGTGATAACTTAAGTAAGAGAAGAGGAGAGTTCAGTCAAGGGAAAGGTAAGTTTGGAAGAGCAGCAAGGTGAATCAATGCTGATACCAATAGAAAGCTTAGTAAAAAGGAGGAGAATGCTGGGAAAAGATGACTGCAGGTATGACGTCACACTTGAGCTTGTGGTTTTCGATTGTGTTAAAAAAGTCTATCTGAATCACAAATAATGTAAGTAAAGAAATATTTTTAAAAAAAATCTGTCACTTCACAATCCCCAAGTAAGATGGAACTGAGGTAACCTCAGTAAGCGTAGATAACTCATGTGATATCCTAAATGTTGAGAAGTTCTGTCTTCAGTATTCCTTGGTCCTGGAGTAGAGTAATTAAATGAGAATCACAGGTTATATTAGAGAAGTTTTTGACCCTCTTGAAATGAGAGAAAAATTGAAAGCAACCTGGGCTTATGGTTATCACTTAGAGACCAAAAGGGGGAAAAAAAAAAGGTATATATAGTTTTGAGTTCTAGGCCAGCATCATGATGTTTTACAGTCTGACTTGTAATTGTTGGTCAGCTAGGACTAACAGGAGTAAAATGTTGTGCTGTGGGTGGTTTGCTACAGGCAAGGAGTATACAGTGAGATGGCAGTCCTATTAAACTTATCCACGTTGTACTGGAATATCTAATGCTGTTACTCTTCTGAGTACTCTGACTGGTGCATGGATTTCTTCAGTTCACATTAGTAATTCAGCTGAAAAGGTACCAATATTGGTGACTCTCTTAACACAAAGCATAGTTTTCAGATACCCCCAAATATTTAAAACTTGATTTGGTTGCCATTGTGTAATCAAACAGTGATGAGGCAGGTAATTAACAGATCCTGTCACATGTTTTCTCAAAAAAAGATTTTTTCCTCCAGCGAGTACGTGGTGGGGTAGGTACAGTTCAGTCATACATGTCCTTGCAGTGACTATAATCAGTGTATGGACCATCTCGCTGGGAGGTGATCCTCAGCGACTGCTGTGGCTGGCTGGCTGGCTCTGAGGCGCCTGCCTTTGTCACGCGTTTTTCAGAAGCCTTGATAATACTGCCGTTGGCTCGTCAGCTAATGCTGTTGGTGCAGCAGTCTTGCAGTGTTTCCTCAAAAATTATCCTGGCTTTTGCTATGGAAAGGAAAAACTGATTCCCAAATCACCATGGGCTGGGGGCAGCGATGCAGTCATTATCGTCTGGTCGAGCAGGCGTTCAGAGCCATTCCCATGTCCTCCGCTTTACTTCTCCCTTGAAGTGCTAATACGTGTGCACAAGCCACCACGGAAAGGACATTAACTGTGATCTTGTTCTCAATATCAAAGTTGCACTTTAGGGTGGTTTTATTTAGAATCTCATTAATTGTCAGTGGATTCCTTGTCTAACAGACTATACCTTAAGATGCCATCTGTGTGAGGAGAGTCCTGCTGCTGGCTCAGTTAAAAGCAACTGGACTGGAATAGCTCCAGTGCTGTTCCAAAGCAATGCGATGGCCAACTACTAATTTAAAAAATGAGGGACCAAAATAGGCACCTTAATGCACTGTTCTGTATTCATTAGAACTGTTGGTGAAGGGGCTTTCAGGTTTCTTTACAGTGACAGCACACGCTTTGCTCTAGGCAATACATTTAAACCTTGATCCAGTACATGTGCTCATCTTTAAGTGTATGAAAAGTTTAATTGACTTAGGGCTTTTTCCCATGTTCTTAAATGTCTGTGCTCATTCGAGACCTTTACCATAAGTTTTCACAAGCACTAAAATCACTCTTGAGATTTTAGTGAAAGCTTTTGTGAATATCCTGCTCTGCAGGGTTCTTCCCATTTTCGTAAGTGTTGTCTCGAACACTTGGACATAGAGGTCCAAGAATCCACCTCGAGCATCTTTGTTGTCTCAGTAAATTTTAGATGCTCTGGTCTGGAGTGCTGATTGTGCTGCCTTTGGTTTAACAAAAGCTGTGTCAAGCCTATGTCAACAGGCAGATACGGCTACCCTTCCTGTTGCTGACCTTTGTAGGTCATGAGATTTGTCACTGTTTTGGAAAAAAAAAAAAAAAATTGCATTTTGTGAGATATGAAGTTAACATAAATCACATGTTGTCATCCGCTCGTGCTGCTTTTGCCACAAAATCAGAGGTGTTTTCGTGTAGGTGACTTTAATTTAGTTTCCACTTTGATACAGCAGCAAAGACTTCGTCCGCCTCGGCCACCGCCTCCAAAGATACAGCGTTCTTCTAGGCCCGTGAGTAGCTGGTAGTTTTGTTTCACTGCCACAGCTTAACACTGCCTGAATTATGCTCTTAGTAGCATTACTAAACCTTGGTAGTCTGGATTGTCAAACTTTGCAAAAAAGCAATGTGTGAATTATGCTCCTAAACTTCCTTCTTCTCTGCTGCGGCACAGCCCTGGGACCTGCATTTATTCTGCTTTTCTTTGACGAGTTCTGCAGCTTTCAGTCAGTTTGGCAGGTAACTGATGCTGCTGTTGCAACGTTTGTTTTGACTTTTGCGGTGATCTCTTAAACAGTCTTGCTAGGCTGGCATAAGTTTTTAGCCAGTAAGCTTTTGGAGACTTGCACTAAACTCAAATACAAAAGGAAGCAGAAGTCTGAAGAGAAAGTATTTGTTCTCTGCAAGTTATGCTTTAAATTAATTTGGGACGCTTGATTTTTCTCCATGGAATAGAGGAGTGAATACACATGAAGAAAGCAAAGTCTGTATTTGGGTGGTAGAACATCAGTACCACGTGATGGATGATACACACATATGCTTCATGTTCATTTAAAATGCCAGCTGGGACTCCATGTGATTACGTGGTATTAAAAAGGTCGGCCCAGCATGTTGGCCAGAGGAAGTGACTCTGCCATGGAAGAACTACACAGAAATTGTTCTCAGTGCAATACCTGTGCTGTATGAGGCAGGGATAGCTTATCTCAGGAGGTTTTCCTTCAGAACACTAACTGTAGGACAATTGTTGTATGTTAATTATGCCACATGCCTCTCAAACTGGAGACTGTGCTGGGTCTGCACCAGTGCCTGTTTTGGTTTTTCAGTAGTACAGGAAAAGTGGTATCCCTTCAGAAGGTGGGTTGTTTTTTACATCAGCCTTGGAAGATCTTTATTTCTATTCAAGACTTTTGCTTTATGAATATAATTCCCCCAAAAGACAAATACATCTTACTCCTTGCTTCCTGATATATACATGTACGTGCATAAGAAAGAGAGAGATGCAAGTTTTCAAATCTAATCTTGCTAAAACTTGTTAAAAATACCTTTTGGATGAGCAGGCAACTGATTAACAAGTGCACTTGGGTGTGTGTTCACTTTTGATCTTTGGTGCATGTTCCTGTGTTACATTTCAATAGCATGTGTTTCTTTTCCTCCCTCTTTTTAACTCTGGGTGTTCGGCTTAACAGAGTAATTTTTACCGATTCCTGCTCTGAAGATTTCTGTTTTCTGTGTTTAAAAGGTAGCATTGGCTATGCCTGTATGTGTTCTCTTCAATGTAATCGATGTGGGAGGCCCTCCCAGATGCATTATGGAACGTGTGGAACTAGGAACAAACTTTCCCTGGTACTGTGGGGTCCCCACAGGGCTCCGTAGCCCGCTCGGCTTGTGCTTGGCAGGTGTATGAGGGCCCATTGCAGTTCCTCTGAACAGTATTGTTCAGGTTGAATAATTTATTACATCAAAGTCTTGCTAAGACTGTTTAATCTCCCAGCTGTAGAGCATTAATAGTCCTCACTCTAATGTGTTTGTGTCAACTGTCTTTGCTCCCAACGTGATTGATAAAAGGTTGGAAATGTACTAATAAAAGCTCCTGTTGCATTCATCTAGCTGTGTCAATAAGTGGAACAGAAATGCTTCATTCATCAAGAGGAAATTCAAGATAAATGTAAATGATTATAATCACTCCCAAAAATATGCTTGTACCAAATATACATAAATTTGTTGTTGTTCAGAACTGTTATTTGGCTTTTAATAGTTGAAACACATTTTTGTGTGTGTAAATAATACTTTGTGCAGGCTGCTTTTTCTCTCCCTTAGACTTGGCATATACTAGAGGTGGGTATCGGCAAGTAATTTATCCTAGCCTTTTACAGCAAGCACTGAAAGAGCAGACCAGGTCCCTCTGGTCTTCCAACCAAGCCCACATAATACCAGAATTCCTCAGAAATACTTGCTGTTTTCAGGATGTATCTGTTATAAGGAGTAGTCCATGGGCACTAGTCCTTGCCATATGAGTCATTGCTAATAATAAAACAACAGCACAGACCAAGGAGAGGTTAAAGAAGCAGAACAGATACGTTCTTTACATTCTGCTGTTTTGGAAATGAGTTGTGGTGGTACTATGAAAGAGAGAGCGTTGTTGCTTATAATTAATAGAGATCTGTTTGGATTAATAGTGGCTGTTTGGAAACTTCATTCAATTATAAAAAGTTGAAATATAATAATTATGCACAAAGTTGATGGGGACAGTAATAAGCACATTTAACCCTTCTGTACTGGATGTTTACCTTTATTCTTTTGGCTGTGTGCTCACATAATTGGATTTCTTTCATCCTTCTGCATTTGATAAGCATTTAACCTTGCCTATTTGGCTACATAAGGCTCAAAATCCAGCAAGGAATTGGCTTGATTCCTGGCTTTTCCCTGCAGTCCCCCATGAACAATGCTCTAAATCTACTTAGCATGTCACCCTGCACTGTACTGGTGTGGTGGCCCCCTGGAGCCATCCCAAACTCTCATCTCTCTCCCCCATCACCATCACTCCCCCAGGGTACCACCCAAAAGGTGAAAGTGTTCACAGCATGATGACAAGCCAGCTTTACACATGATCTTTCAGCTCAGATTTAATTAAACAGGTTTCTTTCTTCCTCTCTTTTTCTCTTTCTCCTTCTCCCTCTCTTCTCCCCCCAGTTCCTCTTGTGTCTCTCCCCCCTCTCTTGCATGCACTCGCTTTCTCTTGGTCTCTCTCTCTGTTTTATCAACCCTAATGAAGCAGTATTCTTCATCGATCCTGCTGATTGCCAGCCCATTCCTTTTGTTTGTTGGCACCGAGCCATTCAGCCGCACTCTGACAGCTCAGCTCGTCTAATTAGCTCTGTTGTTCTTTTCCCCATGTTTCACCACGTTGCAAGTTCAGTTGAAGTTGCCACAAACTTAATCCTTCCATTCCTGCCATAAATTCACATTCTTAAGCTGTCTTTATTGCAGAGAGGAGCAGCCTTGTGTGGGGACTGATCTTCAAGACCTTAACATCTGACCTTTTTATAAACCCTTTTTCCTAAGTAATAGTGGCAATACATCTCTGGATTTCTTCATCATATCTGCTGTGCACCATTGCCTTTGAAATGAAAATTTGATAAAATAATCCTGCTACTGTCTTCTGCATACTGTTGTGGAGTGCAGAAACACCACACACAATTCGGTGGCTTTTTCGTGGCAGGAAAATTCGAGGTTTATGTGCCTGGGGGTGGGGGAAAGGGAGGGGCAAAGCCCAGAAACACACACCACCCACCCCCCAACAAATAGTTAAAACAAACACGCACAAAAAAACCCCAAAGCAACAAAAAATCCAACCATAAATTGCAGAGATGGGGGGAAATCTGCATCTATTCTATCGTTGCAAACAAATCCATGAGTTATCCGAGGAGTGCTTAGGTTGTAGGCCTTTAACAGCTCCCTCTATATTGTGGCTATTAAGGGAGCACGAGCTCAGGGAGGTCAGAAGTTGAGTTGTGTTCCTAACTTGATTTGAGAGCTTGGGGGATTTCTGTTGAAACTAGCTTTCAGCTGAGCCAACAAATCAGACTCAGTTTCAGGTAAGGCAGTGCTTTCTTAACAAAAAATGGAAAGCTTGTTTGTACAGCCTGACCCTGATGCTGCAAATGTTCATTCCCACATTTGACTCAAAGGATAAGTTCATCCACAGGATTCCTCACTAGTGTAAGTAGGCACATGCATAAACTTTGCCTACATAGCGATCATGAGCACTTGTTCCTTTCCTTGAAGTAAAGGTTGTCTGTGGAGTTAATGTAAGTAAATTAAGGTTGATTTCTGAACATTGGAAGATGATGGATATTGAAGATTGGGTTGGCAGCAACATCATCTTCCACAGAAAAACTTTGGATTTTATTACAGACAACGAAAGATAAACTAGTGTAACATTAGGGGTGATAATGGTAATATGTCTGGCAAGGGTTTCTGTTCAGCTGCTGAAAGGAAGCTTTTAATGAAGAATGAGCCATGTTTTTCATGTTTAACATTTATTCTAAGCACAAATTTTTCAGTGCTCCTTAACACAGAAGTCTTCACTTGAGAAGTTGGGTTCCTATGAACAGGAGAACAAAAGGATCATGATGTCAGAGCTGAACTCCACTTTCCCATACAATGTACCGCAGCACACAGGCTTTTCCAGTTTTACTCTATCAACTAACTGTGTAAGGGGAAGCTCACTTTTAGGGAATCTTTTATGAGAAATTTAGCCTACACCAAACAGAACAGTGGAACAAATTTTCGTTGCTTTGCTAATAGCTAACAGTCACTGGCAAGCACATGTTTCACTTGCTATTCAGAAGCATGTGGAGTTTTTTGTCCTTGAACAAGTTGTGGGTCCCTGTAGTTTATATTCATACTTCAGAATTTTTTGTGTATCTGGATTCATTTGTGACATTGTGGTGGCACAAAAAATAAAAGGCATTTAAAAGCAATTCTGCATGGAAGATACCTTTAAGATAATGGTGGTTATGCAGATTTTGTTATTTATGTCTGTGGTTTGATCAACTTGAAGTCGAATTTGATGAAATGTCTTCTCTGTGTGTGTATGTAATAGGTTCGCCCGCCAAGACCTCATGTTGTTAAGAGACCCAAGAGCAATATTGCTGTGGAAGGACGAAGGACTTCAGTTTCTAGTCCAGAACAGTAAGTACTTTGCTGCTCTGCTTCTCTTTAGTTGCTTCAACAAACAGCGCATTCAGAACTAGAACTAGCCAAAGGAGAAAATAAAAAACACTACAGATAAATGTAATTTTTTAACTAACAAAAAATTTGTTTTTCAATTTTTGGAACATTTTAGAGGAAGTGTGAAAACGCAAGAACCCAGTTTATTTATTGGAAAATTCTGGTTTGCCAAGTTAGACATACTCTGATGAGCCTGTTTAGTGGAATTTTTCGGGTTTTGGAGACTTTTTCGTTTCCTTGTTGTGCTGTTTGGCACTACGCTTTAAATGAAGTTGTTAGCCACATCCCTGCAAATCCGCTGTTCTGGCCAGGCTTTACCTGGAAGATACGGAATTGTTTGTTTCATAGCGATGGCCATAAGGGTTGTATCTCAGGCTTGTTAGAGTCCCGTTAACAGAAGGTCTGTAGTGGGCTCTATAGTGAAGGCTTGTAGAGTTTAACTGTCTTGCGTAGTGCTAGCAGATGTATAACCTCTCTAGATTTGACTATGAAGTAAACAGGGATAATGTTCCAAATAAGTTGTATTGCTGTAGCCTGCTGCTCGTGTGTAAAACGGGTTGGTTTCCAACATCTCTCTTGTTCATATGAACAGTATATTCTGCTACCTAGGAGAGATTTTTTTCACATAGTTTCATGAATGTGACATATTAAAGTACTTTTTACAAAGAAGACAATACTGTGATTCATTGCAGATATTCTTAATGCGTTGCCATAGTTGGGTTAACAATAGGTCATCAAGTGAAACCTTGCAAAGAGAAGGGATCTATTGAACCTTACCAACATAGCCCAAAAGACGCTAGTGTGTGTGACAAATATGCATGTAGGCTGTATCCACGTGCATCTTGGATTTAAAATTATTTGGATTCTTCTGGGTGTAGCTACTTCAACCATTCATATGTATAGAAGATTCAGCAGCACTGACAGGATACAGAAGCTGGTATTGGTTGCACATCTTAAGGGTCTGAATAAGCAGATTGTCTCCTCTCAGCTCAGAATTTGGGAAGCTTAAGGACTGTTTAAGGACCGTGCCTTTTGCCTGGGGTGGCTGATCTTAGAAGAAGGTGTTATGGAAAAATATGACTAGAGTAGGGCCAGACCTGCTCAGCACTCCAGAGGGAACAGCTGAGCAGTGAGGTAAGAACAGCAGGCAGCAGAGCCAGTATGCGTTTTCCAAGTCAGGTGGCAAGATTGAACTGGTGTTCCCCGTGTGTGAAGCACCTTGGACCCTGTCCCTGAACAGGGAGTGGAGCAGCCTTTTCCAAATGTCCGGTGCTGTGGCAGTGCAGCCTCAGCATGGGAAGTCACGCCGGGACTGCTCACAGACTACAAGTGAAAGACTCAGGGGCCACAGGATGGTGGCACGGATCAAATCTGTCACAGAGGTTTCCTTGTTGTTCATCTCGACCTGCAGCACAAGGTGATTGCTTGTATCATAGCCACTCCGCGTGCTTTATGTCCCAGCCTGCGGTGGCTTTGTTGTCAGTAAAGTGCAGTGCTTTAGCTGATGCCTGAGATTGCAGGATCTGTTGTATCTGAAGATACTAAAATCCCATAAAAATAAACACTGTTGTTTTCTGTAAAGACATCTTTTTCCCACATGGGTACCAGTTCCCTGTCACCACTGTTGATGAGGGAAGAGGAGGTGAAGGTTGGCGCACACACACACACCCCCGCCCCAAAGTTAAGTGCCTGGCTAGCTTTTTCCTGGCTGTTCTTAGATGGGGTGATATTCTGGCTTTTAGCTAAAATAAGTGGTCACTTTTAAATTCTACAGGATTATTTCCCCATTTTCTAATGGAATTTGGTTGCCCTCTTGTGGAGTAGGTTGCAAATCCTGCAAAAGGGCTTGTGCCGTTACAGAGTGGTAGCTGTCCCTGCACAAAGATTATAGGGCTGTTTAAAAGTTTTTTCTTAATATGATGACTCAGTGCATGTGGTTGAAGGATAATTGAGCCGGTTTAACCATTATGCATGTTTTGTATGAAGGATTATGCATGTTTGGATTCAAAAGCTGCTTGACATTCCAGCGTGACTTACTGCTAACACGTATTTTCAATTCCTGCCAGTATCAGAACAGAAATAAACTTGAACAGCAATGATACCGTAATATTTATACTAATGCTAGTAATACATTGAATTACAATTATTATTTTACTTGGTTTTAATTTGTAGCTGTTAATTTTAGTGAGACTTTACAATTCAGCTGCTTTCACAGAGTAAACTATGAAGATTTTTTTGTGAAAAAGATTGACAATAATTACAAAAGATAATGAAGATAATTTGTAGCTGTAAACTGATTTATTTTTCTTCATGAGCATTTTACTGATAGATTTTTTTTAATCTTTTAAATGTGGAAGAAAACCAGGTAATGTCGCTAATACCTCTGACACTTGCTGTACGGTACCAGTTGTGGTCTCTTCCTGATGTTTCACAGTTTCGATATTTTATCCAGCTCAAATGCAGTGTCACAGCAGGATCTGATTATT